GCTTTTCACCTTGGATATTTTTAAATTCTACCAGAGTTTTACTCGTGTGTTGGTCCAGTAAATTTTCTCCTTCATGACCTGCTCAAAAAAACTGTCCAGCCTCTTGAATTTTCTTTCTGTTTTTGCTTTGTTGGGATCTGAAACCTCTTCCATTTGTTGCTTTTGTGGTTGTTTAGTTTCCACTACGTCCTGTGGGTATCTTTCACTAGATTGCTCCTCTATCATTGCTGGCATTTATATCTGAAAGGATGTCTCAAAAATGATTAGCAACTCATTGTTGTGTATGCTGTGCATTTCCATCTGATTTTAATGGTCTACCATTTTCTCCAGCTTTGCTTTGAACTCAAGCTGCTGTTTTTTTTTGGTAGCTGCTTTTGCTGAGCCTGACCAGTTTTACATGTAAATTACTATGGAGCTGCCTGTAAATGGGGAATCTTTCCATGGGTTTGATGATACAGATTAGTTCAACTTGCTTCCTTTCCTTCCATTTCAGCTCTTCATTCTATTTTGTGAACTGTGGAAAAATCTCCTAAAAGGTTTAGCAATTCAGAGATCATACTTTCAAGGTTGAATTATCCCATGCTAACAGTTCACCCTTTTTGAATCATATAATCATAGAGATGTACAGCACAGGAACAGGCCCTTTGGTCTGGCTCCTTTATGCTAACCAGGTATCCTAAACTAAGCTTGTCCCATTTGGCCCATATCCCTCTAAACCCTTCCTATTCATGTACCCGTCCAGATGCCTTTTATGGAGTCATAGATTGTACAGCACGGAAACAGACTTCTTAAATTTTACTTTCTCTCCATAACAGAGAGCTGAGATTTTAGCCACACAATGAGGATCTTCATTTGTGTAGATAACTTGGTACAGTTGAGGGTGATTTCTTTTAAGAAGGGAAGATTGAGAGACTTGATAACAGTGTTCAAAATCATGAGAAATCCAGCCAGAGTAAACAGAGTAAAATTGTTTCCACTGATGGAAGGTTCAAGACCTAGTGGGCACAGATTTAAGGTGATTGGAAATGAAAGAGTGAAGACATAAAGGAATGACTTTACACACATTGAGTGATTAGAACTTGAAATGGAAGGCCTGAGAGTGTGGTAGAGAATTAGATTGCTATCTAAAAGGAAGGATGGATAAACAGTCATGTGGAGAAGGTGAGGCGTATTAGTAAATAAATTGGTAATTAATTGAGGGAGGGTAGATATAATGGGCTGAATAGCCTGCTTCTGTGCTTTTCCCATTCTGTTTAAGCAGGAGAAAGACAGCCCCAGTGGTTACCTGGTTAAATATCATATTTTTGCTGATTAAGACATTTAAAAATCTGTAACCAAGGGAGAAAATGAAAATGTTAGAATTTGGACCGACTGTCTCAGACTGATTCTAAAGGAAAACAAAAGGAAGTACCAATTCCAGAAGCTAAACAGCATTAAAACTGAGAATTTACACCTCCTGGTATGTAAAAGCCAGCGGCACTATTAGAAGTGAGTAGTGTTGTTTTTGACTAGCTTAATCAAACTGGATGAAGTATACAATTGTCATACTTCACTGAGGAGCACACTGGAAGTCAAGACCTGCTATTCCCGGAATCATCGCAGAAGTTAAAAATGTTATCAAATCTCACAAAATTCCCCAATTTACCTGTCTTTTAGTCCCAGGTTAACAGAAAGCACGGGCCAAGTTTCGGAAATAGATTCTAGCTAGAGGAAAGAACTACTAACTGTCAACAAATAACTCTACTTGTTAAAATTCTAGCCTCCCTATATAGTCCTACCAATGCACACATATAGAAGGACATACAAAATTGGTTTTATGGGTGGTGGGAAAACTGGGAAGGCAGTTCCATGACCCCTGTCCACAGGGTTCACTCAGATGATCCTTTTGTTTTGGTTCATCAATGTCTTTCTCTCTCTTCATGTGTTTCCACTTCCATGCAGGAGGCACAGTGTGACTGGGTCACAAAATATAGAGTCTCTGATGTATTAATTGAAAGCTTACATCAACTGGTGAGGGGAAATAAACTGGCTTTCTTCAGGCTTTGGTTATTTTTTAATGCAGAGAGAAGGACACCATCTCCCCTTCTGAAGTTCCAAAAGCTTCTGGCTATATTGTCCAAATGCACAAGTTGTTCAACTATCTGCAAGCCAATTGCATAATTGATGGCAGGATTGCAGTTCTGAGGAAGGGTCACCAGACCCGAAACATTAACTCTGATTTCTTTTCACAGATGCTGCCAGCCCTGCTCAGCCTTTCCAGCATCTTCTATTTTTGTTTCTGATTTACAGCTTCCTTAGTTCTTTCAGTTCTATCTGAAAAAAGGGAGCCTGCTAACAATGAAAGCAATTGTCAATTCTCTGAAAAACATTTAGAATCTCTGTTAAGAGGACTTTAAAATGGAGGTGCTTCATGTATTTCAGTTCCTGAAGGAAAAGCACTGTGATGCTTCCAAGATGCTTAACTTAAGATATGGCAGTACAGACAGTGGAGTATTTTAATGCTCAACACTATCATGATGTCTTTTCATTTTTTATGTTTATAAAATAGTTATGTTTTGGGACTATATCTTTAATAGGGGGGTAAATTGAATGGAATTATGAGACCTGTATTTTAGTCAGCCTGACATTAAACCTGGGTGATTTGATTATTGAATGTTAAAAAGGTCCCAGATTGTGTTATGAGCAAGAAAGTGCACAGTGGCAACAGCTTCTGTGATAATGGGGGAAGAACTCTGAGCCTCCAAAGTCCCAGAAAAATGTTCAGAATGTTGGCTTGCAAATAGTTATGCTTTAAACTGTCCATTTGACTCTAAAAGGAAAGAGAATTGAGCTCTTATGGATAACTAATCAGCAATTCTATATGGACATAGTACCCATGTGATTCACATTACAATGGAAATGGGCTTTGAGATGGGAAGGATTTCCAAGATGTTGCTAAGATCTCTCAGACACAGTTAGTAGTGCTAGGATTCAGGGCAGGGAGACTGCAACTCAAGGCTAAAATTCTCAATGGTTCACTGTGCTGAATACAGTAGGAAGCTCAGGCTTGAATTGAGAAGACCAAATTTTTGAGAAATTAGACTGAGGCTAGAAGTTTTGCCTAGCTATAGCTAGAGGATGAATCTCCAGGAAAGCTTTCACAACGAAAGAGAGTTCTGGAGTTAAAAACATCCAGGCTGGGAACCAAAAACATCACAAGTAAACACATGAGGGTTAAGAATTGTTTTGGACTGATTTTGTGAGAACTGAATGTCTGCTGGAAGAACAGTATAATAAATATCAAATAGTGAGTTGGTTGTATTAAATATTTGTTCAGTAATTTAAAGCATTAATTGCCTATGATGATAGGGTTTAATCTGTAGACTATTTAGTGTTTTGTTACAGTAAATGTCTTTAAACATAGATCCTGTTATTTTATTCTTTCTTATGACCTGGTGCAGAGGAGTGAATTGGCTGTCCTCTTTTTAACCTCCATGATTGACTACAGCAAAGATTTACTGTTCTTTGTTAACACAGAGCTAAATCTCACTCCAACTGGTTCACCAGAAATAAAGTAAGGAGCCAATTACAAGGCCTTCTTGAGTGAAAAAAGTAAGGGGAATTTTACTGCTTCCTGATTTGAAGAAAAATAATGAAGATACGACATAAAACTCAAACATGCAGACATTGGTACTAAGTTAAAAGGGGTTGTGTCCAATACAAAAGGGAAGAAAGAATATTTAATTTGAAGTCCTTGGCGTTGCCTTGAGGTGTAATGTGTTAACCTGAGACCACAATTGGTTAGTGTATCCTGGATCATTCACCAGTGTGATATTGTAGATATCATTGAGTTCTTGGAGTTTAGATACTTCTCAAACTTGTGCTGTTAGCATTTGATTTATTTATCCCGAACAAAGGCAGAGAAAGACAGAGAAAGTTTCTTCCAGTTCTGCTGTTAAAAATTTATTTCCTATGCTTTGCCAAAGTAATAGTTTGAAATAGTGGTTGTTTATGTATTCCATGTTTGGGGCTATTGTTTCCAAGCTGGCTAATTATAGATGAGTTTCATCTCCAATACGTGAAACTCATCCCTTCTGGTGTAAATTGAAAATTGGACATATGAGTCTGTTCATGTCAGGCTAGGGTTTAGGTCTCTTGTAATAGAAGTGTTACTTTCAGTTCAGACAATCTTGTTTATTCCACATTGATTTCCTTACCCACTATGACAGAACCAACTTAATATACAAAATTCCATGCAAGCACTGTGACAGCCAGTACATTGGACAGACAGGAAGAAAATTGGCCAGAAGGGTACATGAACACCAACTAGCAACAAAAAGACACGACCAATACTCACTCATCTCCATTCACACGGATAAGGAGAACCACCAGTTCGTTTGGGACAACACCAAGATCCTAGGACAGGCCAAACAGAGACAAGCACGGGAATTCCTAGAGGCCTGGTTCTCCACTAAGAAGGCCATCAACAAACACATAGAACTAGACCCTATATATACTCCACTGCGAAGGAAAACCAGAAATGAGGTAATGAAATCCAACGGACCCCAGAGTTTAAATACCAGGCGGGAAAACACAACAGCGCTTCATCAGAGGTTGCACTGATGATGTTATCCAGCAGGATAATGAAACGTCTGTGAATTAATGAACCAGCTCGGCAAGTGAACCAACCACAGATTTCCTGGAGCTTATTGCAACAAGTGTCAGCCATATTGTCTTTTTTTTTCCCCTTTTTAATGCCATTTCTATCCATGGAAGTCCAAGGCATTAAAATCAGATAATGGAAGTCAAAAGTTGATTATCCATAGTCCATCGTTATTATGGTCATCATTTAATGTCTATGAAGCAATAGTAATAATCTATTGAATCTTCAGCTCATATCTTCATTACTACCTCAGACCATTCGTTTGTTGGAATCACACTGAACAATGCATGTATTTAGTATTCATTTGTTTTAGGAACTATTGACTCCACATGTGACTGACAACTGTGTGTCTTTACAGGTTAAACATGGGACAGAATGATGTTCTCACCTTTTATGATGGGGATGATCTAACTGCAAGATTATTGGGCCAGTACACAGGCACTCATCATCCTTTCAAACTGTACACAACCATGGCAGATGTCACCATTCAGTTCCAATCTGATCCGGCAACCAATGTGTTTGGATATCAACAGGGATTTGTCATTCATTTCTACGGTGAGCCAAAGATTTTGTTTGTCCAAATAAACTTTACAATTTATGTCTTTGACTGAAATCCAGCAGATCCTGGATAGAAACTGCACCAAGGATAGGTCCAGGTTTGTTTGTAGAATATATCTCTCATATATATGGTAATTCTTTACACACATTTCAATGGGGTATGATTCAATCCTTTTCCTCAGACCTCCAAAGAAATGACAGCCGCTAATTAGACTGTGGTAAATGTTTGCCACAATAATTACTATTATTGTAGTGCTCATAGCTTGAGAGCCAATGTCATTCATTTCTCTCATACTCCTACAGATTTTGTTCATGAACTTTATTCCCCACTGGCATGAGGTGTGAGAGAAATAGGATTACAGCTGAGCAGTTGTAATGAGTCAGGAGTGTTGTGCAGTCTGAGCTATGCATGTCCCCATAGGCATCATCAATCACAGCTGTCCTTACAACTTGGAGGCAACACATAAATCCTTGCAGAAAACAAGCTCCCTCAGACAAATCCACTGAAATTCTCATATTAAGAGAAACTTAAGCCCAAGTATTAATCTGCGCTTCATTTCCTGTCAATCTTCCAAGAATCTGGCATCGTGGTTACTAGGCAGCTTCCAAATGTAGCTGCTGTGTCTTCCAATCCTCCCATTACCATGGGAGGTATTTGTTCCTCCAGTTTCCCCCACCTGCTGCGCTCAGTCATTATTCCACATGCGATGGGTAGAAAGTTTCCTTAATCGTTAAAGGTCAGTCCTACAATTTATTACTGAGCCACTAATTGCCTTTGTTGTTTCATTAAGCAGAGTCAATTTAAGAATTGTTCTAGCAAATAGATTTGACACATAATTATAAAATCCTCAGCTGTGTACGTCAATCAAAATAATTAAAACTGCAGAAATCATGATCTAAAGAGACCTGCTTTAATCTTCTGAATGATTGATGGTACTGTATTAGAACTGGAAAGTCACTCTGATTTCATCTTTCAAGATGATTTTGGCTGCAATTTTCCAAGGAAACTTAATCAGAACACTCAGGGATTTTAGCATCATTAGCAGAATGTATCTCCTCTGATAGGAATAATGTGAGGCAGTATACAGAAATCAAAGCTGGTTGTGTTCTCCCTATTCACCCTTAAGTTGGGTCTCCTCTTCATTTACATACATTGCTCCAGCACTTCCAATTAATCTTTACTCCCAGTAAAAACTGTTGTTGTAATATTTCACAGTTCATTCTGAGAAAGTGTCAAACTTTGTTTTGATTGAGGATATTGTGGATCCAATAGCCTGTGCTCCCATGCAGCAGAGCCTGGACAATGTTCAGGCTTGGACTGATGAGTGCCAAGTGACAAGTGTCAGATAATGATCAAGTCAAACAAGGGGAAATCTTACAGTCTCCCTTTGACATTTAATGATATTGTCATCACTGTATCCATCATCATCAACAACAAACTCTGGGTTACAATTGAGCAGTAACTTACCTGGACCAGCATATAAATACCATGGCTACAAGACCAGGTTAAAGGCTGAAAAGTCTGAGGTAAGCAACTCATCTCCTGACTTCCCAAAGCCTGTCCAACATGAGCAATACATAAGTAAGGCATGCTGTCCACTTGCCTGGATGAAGATAGTTTGCCATGTGGATACATCAACATCTCTAGGTTCCTCTCCATGTGACACATCATGAAAATCAAGATGTTAATGGCTACTTAGCCTCCATCAGTCTGGAGCCTATTAAGGCAATTAAAGGCCAATTAAGGCCAGTGTCCTGAGACCAGGTGGAAATGTTGGCTGCAGGTCCACCTCCTTCAGCAGTCAAAGCCCAGTAACAGATTTGGGAGGAGGGGGTGAGGAGGAAATACTAGTATCCAACAATGATTTAAAAGACCCCACCACAACTTACCCACTGAGGTGGTCATGACTGTGGCTCCAGACCACCGTGAGCAGAAGATCATCTTCTGTTGCAGCAGCATTGTGATTGTGGCCAGTTACAGTCTAATCTTTTCCAAATATCTTCAGAGGGCATCTTCTTCTTAATGTTCTTTCTCCTACATACATAATCAGCTCCCACTTCTGTGATCAGTGAATACTGGAGGATCCTCTGAGTATCTGTCAGCCTGGAAGTCTGCCTTCCATCTTTAATTAGGCAGTGATCATAATCCTGACCCCTAATAGACCTCATAATCCAAAACCCTAATGGACCTCATAATCCTGACCCCTAATGGACCTCATAATCCTAATCCCTAATGGACTTCATAATC